GCGTCTACTGTGACGCAACTGACCACAGAGCTGTAAATTGCAACAAGTTTGTGACAGTTGGAGACCGCAGGAAGCAATTAGGACTGAAACAGCTTTGTTTTAACTGCACAGGAAGTCGACACCGTGCTTTTGAGTGCAAATGCCGTTCTGGCTGCCAGATCTGTAGTCGAAGGCATCATACATCGATCTGTGACAAACATACATCGCGAGACCAGCTGATGACCACAACGAGCGCAGAAAGGAAAGGAGTGGTGTATCCTATGGTTACAGTTGACGTGAACGGTGTTAAGTGCCGAGCATTGTTGGATACAGGAGCCGGAAGTTCCTACGCTTCATCAACGCTTCTGAACTGTTTACATTTGCGCCCTATCCGTCAACAATTCAAGCGCATTGAAATGATGTTTGGTACTTCAAACAAAGCGATAGACATCTATGGCCTACAAATTCGAAGCGTTGATGGTAAATTCACCTTGGAAGCCGAAGTAAACAAAGTCGACCGCAAAGAGTTGTTGACATTGGAAAACCCAAAATGCGCAGAAATCGTAGCTCAGTTTTCTCATTTGAAGGGCGTAACCACAAATGATAACGACGAGAAAGCGATGTTGCCTGTTCATCTGATCCTTGGAACAAACGAGTACGCTAAGATCAAAACAGGGGCAAGACCAAGAGTTGGGCGCTCGGGAGAACCAGTAGCAGAATATACGAAGTTCGGCTGGACGATCTTGTCACCTGGAACGGAGTTGGATCTCAGCAACATGTTGTTAACGCAGACCTCCGCAATTGATTACGAAGAATTGTGCAAGTTAGACGTCTTGGGGCTAAAGGACAATCCAAGTGGAGACCAGGAAACCGTTAACGAAGAATTCAAAGAGCAACTAACTAGGAGTTCAGAAGGCTGGTACGAGACGAACTTGCCCTGGAAAGGAAATCACCCCCTACCGAACAATCACACTGGAAGTTTAAAACGTCTCAAAAATCTCGTGCGGAAGTTAGAGATACAAGGCGAGCTGGAGAGGTACAACGACATTATCCAGACTCAACTGAGTCAAGGGATCGTAGAACACGCTGACGAGGTGGTCAAGGACGGAAAAGAGTTCTACATTCCTCATAAAGCGGTCGTGCGCGAGAATGCAGAATCTACAAAGATACGCATTGTTTATGATGCTTCTGCAAGAGCTAATGCAAGTGTCCCCTCACTCAACGAGTGCCTCGAAATCGGCTCTCCACTACAGAACCAGCTTTGGAACGTGTTGGTACGAAATAGGTTCTATCCCGTGGCAATAGCTGGCGACTTAAAACAAGCATTTTTGCAAATTCGCGTCCGAAGAGAAGACCGAGATGCCTTACGCTTTCATTGGATAAAGGATCTGGCAAGCAAACAAGTAGAAACCTTGCGATTCACTCGAGTACTCTTTGGTTTGGCACCGTCTCCATTCCTCTTGGCCGCAGTTATCAAAGAACATCTACAGCGATACAAAATGGTGAACAAGGAATTAGTAGAGGAGATAGAGCGCAGTATGTACGTGGATGATTTAATCAGTGGTGGGGTGACAACAGAACAAGCGTTAGAAATCAAGATGACAGCCACGACCATCTTTGGTGAGGCGACTTTCAAGTGGCATTCCAACGATCGGAAACTAGAAGTTGAAACTGCGACTATAGATGGAGAAAGTCATAGTTACGCCAAACAACAACTGGGAACCAGAAAGGGCGAATCAAAACTGCTAGGAGTCCCCTGGGACAAAGAAAAGGACGAAATTCAAGTCAGCTTCCCGATTTCAACCGCTGAGCCGACAAAAAGAGATATCCCTGGAAAAGTCGCAAAAATCTACGATCCACTTGGTCTGGCTTCACCCGTGACCCTCTCTGGAAAAATGCTCTACAGAGATGCCTGCGACACGAAGATCGCGTGGGATAGGCCCTTACCAAGTGGGAAATCGAGTGAGGAAGATCCAGGAAAAAGAAATAAACTGGAGGCATGTACCAACGATGGGAGAATCCAGCGGACGTGGGGAGTCGGGGAGGAGATGTTAGTAGATTAACAGCTCTTTGGTGGCAGGGACCAAGCTGGTTAGCAAAACCGCAGGACTGGCCGCCAGACCTTGTAACGACATCTACTCAAGAATCAAAAGCGGAAGAAGTGAAACAAACTCGCGAGTTATTTGCTCTAGCAGTAGAGAAAACAGAGAACAACGACACCTTCGATGCGCTGCTGGAGAAGTACGAGCTGTGGCGTGTGTTGCGAGTGGGTGCTTGGATCTGGAGACTCCTCCACAACATAAGAACCGTCCATAAACAGAGAATCGTTGGTCCCCTTACAACTGAAGAAATACAGAAACAGACAACGTTCTGGATCAAGCGATCTCAACAACAAGCAAAGTCGAGCCAGAAATTTGAAGAAGACCGTTTACATTTGAATGTGCAAGGAAACCAAGAGGGAATATTAGAGTGTAGGGGAAGAATTCAAGGCCATTACCCCATCTTTCTGCCAGACTCCTCGCCCTTCACTCGCAAGTTAGTTCACCGATCACATGTCGACACACTGCACGGAGGAGTGGCCCTTACCATGACCAAAGTGCGAGAGCTATACTGGGTACCCCGTTTAAGGGCACTCGTAAAACAAGTTCTCAGAGCGTGTTCAGGCTGCAAGCGTTTTCAGGCCATGGCACTGGCAACGCCGCCTCCCGGACTCCTACCCACTGACCGCACAGAGGGCAGCACCCCATTTGAGGTTATCGGAGTCGATTTTGCAGGGCCCATCAAGTACCGTATCAGAGCCAAAACAGAAGGAAAGGCCTATCTTGCATTGTACGCGTGCAGTCTTACCCGAGGATTATTCCTGGAAGTACTACCAAACCTGGCAACCAGTGAATTCCTAAGAAGTCTAAAACGGCTCATCGCGCGCCGTGGGCGTCCGAAGAAGATATATTCCGACAGTGGCAAAACCTTTGTTGGCGCCGAGAAGTGGCTCAAACAAGTTATGCTTGACGAGAAGACACAAGATTACTTAGCACATGAGAACATCAAGTGGCAATTCAACCTCAGCCGCGCCGCTTGGTGGGGAGGACAGTTCGAGCGCCTCATCGCACTGGTAAAAACAGCTTTAAACAAGACTATCGGATGCGGAATGTTGACCTGGACAGAGCTGTGTGAAGTGGTACTGGATGTGGAGATTGCTTTGAATAATCGCCCTTTATGTTACGTCGAAGACGACATACAGTTACCCGTGCTTACCCCTAACTCACTGCTATTTCTTCGATCAAACGAGCTACCAGAACTGGAACCACACCATCTAAGAGAATTTTATCTGCGTAGAAGAGCTAAATATTTGCGAGGGTGCAAGCAGGCTTTGTGGACCAGGTGGACTACCGAATATTTACGAGGGTTGAGAGAACGACACCGGATGAAACACAAGGGTCAAACCACACCCTTGGCCAAAGGAGAGGTAGTCATCATCAAGGACGAGGAACGAAATCGCAATAAATGGAAAATTGGAATCGTGGAAGATCTGATTTCGGGACGAGACGGAATCGTTCGAGCTGCCAAACTTCGAGCGGGGAAAGGAACACTTGAACGGTCGGTACAACACCTTTACCCACTGGAGCTGTCCTGCGATCGGGAGAATGTACAGGCTCCTCTACAGCTCAACCCCGTAGCCCCGACATTCAGGCCCAGGAGGGATGCAGCGGTAGCCGCTCGTTATCGCATTCAAGATGCGAACATTGATGCTGATTAGAGATATTTAGGAACACTGAACTGATATACTGGACTAACTTTCTGTTTCGTTCATTGAATTTCAAATTTCATCGAGTGCGCCATTTTAGTGTTTTTTCTCCGTTGACAAAAACAGGGGAGTGTGTGAGAGATTATTCAGCGTTAATTGATTTCCGGTTGACTTTTTGCGATAAGTGACTGATGATTGAACAATAGGATCATATTATATATTTAAAATGAGAGAGACCAGAGCGTGAGACAGAGAACGGTGAGAGAGAGAGGGAGGTTAAGTTGATTTTATAAAATAAAACGTGAAGTTTCGGAACATAGCAGATTCTTTAGTCTCATTTCCGACAGTCGAACTGGGGGACCACGTTAATGCAGTGCGGGAAAGGATGCCCAATTGTGTTATAAAAGATGTGAGGTCAAGATTTCCTAACCCTCCTGGTATTGCCTATATGGGGCATAAAAGGTAATAATAAAATTCTCATACAAATGCTCACCTCAAAGAGAGCCCAAGTACTCAATATTTTTCATGGTCCATTTTGCAATGTCCACACAGCGAATTATAGTGACTTTCCTATAGGTTAGGAAAAGATATACAGTGCAAAGAAAAGTAACAGGAGGAAACAGAGAATGAGTCTGCTTGGAAATACCTTGTGTCAAACCTAATATTCATGTTTTCATTGCTTGGTACCAGCAGTTGTTAGAATTGGTCCTCTCTAATGACCTCACATATTAATACTGAACATTTGGGCTCCTAGTTGTAATTATCTCAGAAACTGTGGTGCAATGGAAAACAAAAGAGACATCATTTGTTTATATTAAAAAGGTAGACCAGATAGTTTCTCTGAAATTAAATGTCTTTGAAGTAAGCACCCTGGTCTCTGCCAAGCGGTTTGGATGCCTGGTATGTTGGTACATCTGTAGAGACGATGCTTCTTGATTCACATTTTCATTCTCTAAGACAAATGAGTCAATGAGCAAGAGAAGGCAGTGAATCCAAAAAGTGCCAAAGTAATTGTGCAGAATTAACAACATAAGCATGCAGCTACTACTTCAGGTTTAGTTAAAAGTTTTTTGCCCATCACATAGCCATTCTGCTTGCACCAAGACTCTGCATGGCATCTGACATGATTTCCCTGAGTAATAAATACACCAAGTTATAGAAAAATCGATTAATAAATCAGTACTAATAATGATAGTAAGTATAATGTCTCGTGTTCACCATTATTAAAGAAATATGTGCAATCTTTGAGGTAATGATCATGTCTATCTTACTAGAATAACACAACAAAAGGTACTTACAGAAATGAAAACAAAATACTATGTTCTCAATAAACAGTCACTCAAATTACCTGGTAATGGTCAACTACATTCAACAGTGTACCCTGAAATTCTTCTTCATTGGGTGGACTGTTCTTCATGCAGAAGTACACAAGAGTCCTTGTACTTTTCACTGTAAAATATTCACAATTATTATATTCCACTGTATTCATCTTATATCAAGAAGGAATTTGACATCTGCAGGTAATTGTGGAGAGAATATAGCTTTTGATGACTCTCATAAGAGAGATATCTTACCTTTGTCGAACAATTCAAAAAACCACTTTGAGCCCTCATCCCTCTGGGCCCCTGAGGCAACTTCCTTCATTGCTTTAGTCACAGACTTTGCACCTGAAAATAAAAAAAAAAAATATATTAATACCAATAAAATGCTAACTTTCAAGAAATAGTCATAATCATCAAGACAAAATGAGCCAAAAAATACAAGTGTGTACTGAGTACCATGCCAAGAGTCAAAGGAATTAAGCATTCCTTTTGACAAGATCCATGTTTTTAGCTGTAATACAAAGTCATATGCCACCTCTGCAACATGGAACCCTGAAAAAGAATTACTTTAGCTGCATTATAAAAGATACTTCTGATCTCCATATTTGTATTACATATGTGATATGATATTATTGAGGATGCAAATTTATCATACCTTGTGTCTCAGAGAGATAAGTCAGCAGCTCTTTTGTCATAGGGACCTCACGGCTTACTGCTGAAGTTTCATTGGCCCTACTCCAGTTGACAACTGCTAACACCTTTTTGGTCCTAAAGATAATCAGTGCAAATGAAATGATTTTAGGAATGGTGTTGAACATACCAGAGGTTCAACATATCATACAAAGAGATCAAGTAGAAACCATCTCATAAGAAAGAAAGGGCTGACACTGTTGTGTGTGCTGCTGATTGACTGGAATCATGCCTTGCATCTGTTATAACACACTGTAGGAAGAAATGGTAGAAATCAAGACATAAAAATGGTCACATTTCTCTACTCACAGATATTTTCAAGGTTTACAATCTGATATAAGATTTTATATATTTGTATGTGTCAGTCTACAAAGACAAAATGAAATTAAAATGACAATTTGTACCTCTCCATTCACAGCATATGCAGGGTTACTCTTCACTTGTTCTTGAGCAGCCAACATCGACTCATTGGAGACCCTCTTCACGACTGTCAAGTAACTGAGCTTTTTCAAGACTGTTGAAGTGATTAAAAATAGAAGTATTTTAGAATTGTATCTGGTAAGGCACAAACCAAAGAAGGAACAGTTCAGTCAGTTTGAGCTATCTTGGTAAAACATTCATGATTTAGCAACCTGCAAACTGCTGTTGACTGCCTTCTCCTTGCAAGGAGAAAGACTACATGATTTTCAGAGCATCTGAGCATGTGCATTGCTAACCTGTGTTGGAGGTCTTTTCTCCCTCTGACCCGATGTTGGCTGCTTGACAGAAACTTGTGTATTCTGTCTCTGTCAAGCCACAGGACAATACTCCATGAACCAATCTATGAAAGAGAGACAGAGAAGTGACCAGTTACAAAAAACAAAAACTGTAAAATACCGAGATAACAAATTTCAGTAAATTTCAAGCAAAAATAAAAGAGTGCTCACCTCAAATTTACATAGTACTTTGGAGGAGATCCTCCCATGATAGGGGAGGAGAGCCACTTGAAAGAATCTCCACCAACACATGAAATTGTCACTGACACTACATGACTCTGTCGATTGAAGACAAGTGACTCACAAGCGAGGGGTTTTCCACAATAACAACATGATGTCGTTAGCGTATTAGAGAAAAAAGAAAACAGAGTTCGCGGAGATTCTTCACTGCAGAGATATAAGGAGTCGTTCTCTGCTGAAGATGCAGTGATTTGCATTCTTTGTGGCGTACGTTCTGCTTGTGGAGGAGAAATTGGAGAAAAAGGATCAGCAAAAGGCAAAGAAATACGCGAAGATGGAGTGGAAGAAGCTGAAGGAATTGAAAACCGTGCAGTTGTGGATGGTGTATTTCGGACTTCCCGTTGATGATAAGCTCAGATCGCTCGATGTCAGTCATTTCCTCTCAATTTTCTCCTCAAAAGCTAACAGAAGAGCTTCCATCAAATCTGCATTCTGTGTGCTTGTCGTCGCTTTTGTAAGATTCAACGAGCCTTTGGCCATCTTTATGCGGTCTTTGATGCCGAGAAGTCTGCTCTCCTGAGTTCGAGGAACTTCTATGTTGAACGAGAACTGTGGACCTCGATCCGTTGGATGCTTTTTCTTGGGTACAGATGGCTTATTTCCCTCAGCCATAACGAATAAATTTCCCAATAAATATATCTTTCGAGCAGCGACAGCCAAGACTATTCTCCAAACTGAACTAGAGTTGTGAAATTCTGTCTCAAAATCGCACTTACTTGTGAAATCATCCCTACTTTAGAGGTTTTGTCACAGAATTGTCACAGATAACAATAGTCTGAGCATTGCGCATAGAATGTGTCATGAATCCGCTAGTTTCAATGGGAATAATCTGAAGGCTCGAAGAACCAGTTTGTATCAGGGGCTTGGGACATAAGCCGAAGTTACACGGCGCGAATTTTGAAAAGACAACTGTGCGAGTGTCTCGTCGACCGCAGATAGCGCTTTGAGCGGCCGAACGATAAGTTAGTGCCAATTAATATCAAAATGAGCTCAATTATGGGAATGAGAGTCAACAAGACGCAATATCTTCTAATTTATTGACACAAAAAAAACACTTAAAGTGTGTCTTCTATGCAGACCGTTTCACTCATGGTGGGAACGTTGGTCGCCATATTGGATGATTTTTGCATTTGAGCTGAAACAAAGGGGAGGAGCCAACCTATTTATAACGCGCCTTCGTGTTAAAATTCACCTTTCACAAAGCCTTTCCCTAACGCAAGCAATCATCAGGAAAAAATAATCAATTCGGACTTTTTTCCATAAAATGAATGTTCAAAATTAACATTCCCACCTCCCCCCTCCCACTTAGAGAACACACTGTTAGGTCAAAAAGAGATATTTTGTTTATTAAACTTGAATCATCTACAAACAGTATTATGTCAAAACTAAGGTTCTCTTCTTTGCGCAAGTTTAGGCTGTGTATTTTTCAAAAAAAAAAAATTTCTTTGGAGCTGCCGATGTAAATTTAAAGAAAGGCACAATTCTCGCAGGCGAGCTGCAATTTTAAACCAAATCCTTTGACTCTTCCCTTCCGGCTACTTAAGCGATAAATGATGACCGGTAACTAAGGTCTCGAGGGATTTGGCCGAAATTCCAAGGGTCTCCCTCAGTAGAAGAGGAGTCTGGAAAGAAGTTAAGGGTTAATTTCTATTCCTACAGATGTACTTTGCAAACTCTGTAAGTCTTAAAACTTCATGAGATGATTAATTTGCTTTATTGTCTTTCTTAATATCGTTTACGTAGGTATTTAGATGACAATCAGATAGCAGAGCTACCACGTGGAGTCTTCAGCTACAACACCAAGTTGATTCAACTGTAAGTAAACAACATTTATTGCTTATTCCAAGAGACCTATTTTTAAGAAGCTTATACAGACCCAGTCACACGTGTAAACTATAGCAATTTGTAATGTTGGGACTCAAATCCAATATCTCAGCTCACGTACTTACTAAATCTTGGTTTCAAATTTTAACTGCCCTTAAGTCTATGCGTTGCAGAGGGGCCAGTTTACAGCTCATAATGGCAGGATCAAATCCTATATCCCAACTGGCATATTTGCCAAGACCCCGCTTCAAATTTTAATAGAAATCCCATCGCCGTTGTTATTAGTGGGAGTGGGATTCAGTTTCTATTAAAAAATTTTGTTAATCCCACTAGCTTCAAAAAGGGTTCAGAGAGACGCAATTTACCGAAAGATGGAGAGTTCAAAACTCAGCCAGTCCAAAAGAAATTTGAAGTTAACAAGAATAGCAAAATCAACAAATTCCAACCTCCTCCTTCCCACTTCCCCCTCCCACTTTGAGAACATATTGTTAGTTCGTAATATTCAGATCAAAATCGAACAAATCACATCGCGTATTTACCAAAACTTGGTTCTAAATTTTAATTGCCCACTGGCCCATGCGATCGGCTGCATTGAAAATCCGATTTCAATCGTTACTGATCCCATTTAAATTCACCTTTTATGGAGCCTTTCCCTTAACGTAAGCAATTATTAGGAAAAAAATAATCAATTCGGACTTTTTTTCATACAATGACTGCTCAAAATAAACATTCCCACCTCTCCCCTTCCACTTGGAGAACACATGGTTAGGTCAAACAGGGGATATTTTGTTTATTACATTTCAATCGTTTACAAACAGTATATTGTCAAAACAAAGGTTCTCTTCTTTGCGCAAGTTTAAGCTGTGTATTTGTAAAAAAATTAATTTTTTTGGAGCTGCCGATGTAAAATTAAAGAAAGACATGATCCTTGCAGGTAAGCTGCAATTTTACCAATTGCAGAAAAGGAAGACTAAGAAAAATTCAGGCTCGGACGGGGTTTGAACCCAGGCCTCCCAAAATATTATTACCAACTGAGCTACAGAAGTAAATGTCAACTCCTCCGCCCTTATGCCTATTTACTTTTATAGGACGCTTAATAGCCCTTTAATATTTGCTTCAGTTTTATTCTGGTCATTGTCCTTCAAATTTTTTTAAGTGCGTACAACAAAACATTTAGAAACATTTTATTGTCGAAACGAAGGCTCATTTTACCGCGCGACTTTTCGATATGAATTTGTGATGAAATAAGTTTCTTTTGACTTCCGGATTAAAATCAAATAAAGACATGATTCTCGAAGGTGAGCTGCAATTTTACTAATTGCAGAAAAGTTGACTAAAACAAAAAAAATCAGGCTCGGACAAGATTCGAAACCATGCCATTACATTTCAAGACTAATAGTGGAACAAAATTTTCCTAATTTTCGGTTTTGTTTTTCTTGGACCTTAGCACTAAAAAAAATCCAAACAGGAGATGTGGACTTTTTTTGCCGTACATTTCCAATACGCATCAGTAGATTCCCATGGGAAACGTAGTTTTCCGATAAAATGGGCAAAATTATATTCTTAAAGCCATAAAGCGAAACAGCTCATATCAAGCGCGAATGACTTACAGCGACTTACGGCGCTTTATTTGAGCAAATGCAGCAAGCGTGGTACATAGCTAAATATGCCTCGTTTTTTTAAAGCCATGAAGCGGAACAGCCCATATCAAACGCGAATGACTTGAAAGATACCTCGTTCTTCAGGCGCGGAAAACTTAAAATATCGTTTTTCAAGCCTTAAAAAAAAGAACGCGCTTAACACAAAAATATGAAGTACAGTATACGGGATATATGCCTCGTTCTTAAAGTCCTGAATTATTAAACAGCCCATTTCAAGCGCGAATGACTTGAAAGATACCTCGTTCTTCAAGCGCGGAATACTTCAAATCTCGTTCTTTAAGCCTTAAAAAAAACACTTAACACAGAAATATGAAGTACAGTATACGGGAAATATGCCTCGTTCTGAAAGCTCTGACGCAAAACAGCTCATAAACAGAAATCTGAAATTGCACAATGTCAGTTACCAGAGATCACTCTCTCAAACTATGTCTGCATTCTCCTGCATTCCTTTTATTTTACTGACAATTGATATGTCGAGTAGTTTGAGAATTGAAAATTTGCCGTCGAGTTACTCTTCCGAGTCAGCTGAGTGAACGGTATTGCATAAAAAAATAAATAAAAAAGAATAAAAACGTTCATTTTCTTCATTTGGTCAATT